GTATAGGAAAGTGAATCAGTAGAATGAGAGTGGTGGAAAGCGGAGAGGAGAGAGAGTTAAGAAAATGCAAGGTGGGGGTAGTGGTGTAAAGTGGGCCGTGCTGGGCCGGCATGGCACCACTCGTGAAAAGTGCGGGCCATCACGGGCCATGCCGCCCTCCTCAATGAAATTTTTGGGGGTCGGCCCAGCATGGCCCACAGCCCAAGCCCGTGCCTTGCCACAGGCTTGGGCTAGGCCTTGGGCATGGGCTGAACTAGGCTAGACTGATTTTTTTGACTTTTTTTGTTTTCTTTTGAAAATTTTTATTTCTTTCCTAAGTAAAAGTGTAAAACTAAAATATTTAACTTTCCTTTGAACTTTGTGAACTATTTGAAATATTAAGAAATAAGAAATGAGAAATCTAAGTTATCTAACACATAAACGGAAAAAATACTTAACCAAATAGGAATGATGGAATAACAAATTAGAAGAAAAATATGAATTTTATTTCATTTAAATTTGAATGGTACAAATTACAAATACAATGTTTGGATCACTGGACACTTGGTTGAATGAAATATGAAAATGGAATAGAATAATAAAATATAAAAAATACAATATAGTTGCAAATTGAAAATACAAAATTACATTGTAATAAAAATAGCAAATAAATTAAATAAAATTAAAAAATACAATAATTTGAAAAAAACAATAAAATTTTCTATACAACTAGTCAACTTCATGAATCATGACTTTCATCATCTGCTTCAGGTGAAATATCCGGTGTAGTATCATGCCCTCCTTTGCCTTGTAATCTATCTTGTACATCTAGCCAATCCTTAAAGTAAATGCACATCTCTATACTTTCATCGTTCATGCAGTTTCTCTTGTCGTCCAACACCTTGGTACCTACACTAAAATAGGACTCCGATGGAACTGTAGACACCGAAGGGGTTAGTAGATCACGTGCCATGGCGGCGAGAATTGAATAATTTTTTGAATGTTCACTCCACCATGCTAAAATATCAAAATTATTTGTTCCCTCACCTAAACTAGAAAAATTTGCTTGTAAATAAAAATTAAGTTCAGTAAATGAACTTGTTGTAGAAGTAGCAAATTTCTATCTTTTACTTATTAAATAAAAAAGTTTTTCTCTTCTACTACTGGGCTCAAGATCAGAAGTAGAAGATGTTGTACAAGTTGTAGGAATATTTCCTACTACTTCAGATTCATATAAACTGTACATTTCAAATAACAAATTATTAATTTCTTCTTTTTTTATTTCCAATTTCAATATTCATTTATTCACAATATGTTTCAAGTAAAATATGTAAACCATCTTTCCTAATCCTAGGGTCTAATATTGTAACTAAACAATAAAGGGGAGAAATATTCTCCCAATATTTTTTAAATTTATTTTCTATTATTTCAACAATACATTTAAATTGTGGATTATTTCTATATTTTGCAAAACAATCACTAATCACTATTAATTGATAAGGTAAGTTACAACTAGTTGGATAATAAATATATGATAATTCATCAGTTGCACCATAAAAATGTTTCAAAAAAGCTCTTATACAAACTGTCATTTCCCAATCTTCCTCAAATATAATATCATTAGGCATTTTTACATTATAACAATTAGTAAGAATTTGTTTATGAGAAATACAACTAAACATATTCACGGGTCGGGCTGGGTTCGTGCCGAGCTTTGCCTTTACATTAACAGAAAATTTTTAGGCCCGAGCCCGAGCCCAAGCCCGAGCTCGGCCTGACCATTGGGCTTAGGTCTTGAGCCAGAGCCCTACTCGACTATAAAGCCCGAAGCCCAAGCCCAAGCCTAAGCACGAATAGAAATTTGGAAAGAAAAAGATTTTTCCTTTTTAATTCAATTAAAAGTTGTTTTATTTATACTAAAAGACCTCAAAACCCTAAAAAATAATGAAAAGTCTCATTATTACTCGAAAAAAGAGAAGAAAAATATATTATATATATGTTTTTTATTATATAAAATATATTTTTATTAATATAATACATTATCAAGTTGGGCTCAGGCTCAGGCTAGGCTTTTTTGAGAAAGCCTGAGCCCGGCCCGGAAAAAAGTTAGGCCCGATATTTTAGGCTTGAGCCCGAGCCTGACCCATGAACAAGTCTAAATACAACTTTCCAACATAGCATAGGTAGAATTTCATCTATGTTTTACATCTAATATAAAATGTTTATATTTTAAACAATAATTTTGACATAAATATCTAAATTCTTGTTTTCTTGACCCTAAACTTTTAATATATATAATACAATTTCTAATTTTAAAAATATGAGTAGAAATAATATTCAAGGCATCTTGAAACATAAATTTAAGATGTGACATGCACATCTGATATGAAATAATTTACCATTTAAACATAATTTTAATTGAGAATTTTAAATATTTATTGCAAAATCATTATTGCTAGCATTATCAATACTAATAGAAAATATTAAGCATGTAAAGTATTTAAAATGCTTATAGCAATAGCTGGGCCAATATGTGGCCATTCAACCCTAGTAAAACTTAAAATTCTTTTATTTAAAAGCCAATTTTCATCAATAAAATGGTTGGTAACACAAATATAACTTATGTTAAATTTAGATGTCCAAACATCAGAAGTAATTGCAACTTTAGAATTAAGATTTGATAACAAATAAATTAAATTTTGTTTATATGAATAAAAAATTTTTAAAGCATATGATCTAACTGTATTCCTAAAAACCTTTTTATATTGTGGATTTACAGAATTACGCAACCATTTTTCAAGCTTAGTATCTTCAACTAACAAAAATGGTTGTTCTGCATGTACAATGTATTATGCTAATTCTTGTCTCATTTTTTCTTATGAATATTTAAATGTACCAAAACTCCCCCTCCCAATTTGTGTTTGTGTTGTTTCTCTCCCTTCTTCTTCTTTTTCTTCTTTCTCATGTGTGAGCAAATGTCTGCTCAAATGCAATTACCACCCTTTAAAGTCTTTTCTACATTTTTGGCAAACTGTTCTTTTTCCCTTCCCCTCAATATCCTCTACTTTAAATATTTTCCAAACCGGGCTACTCAACTTAGAGGCCCTCTTTTTCTTTTCCCTAGTATCAGTACTAGGGGTGAAAGTTCCACTTCCATCAATATCAATAGCATTAGTGCTAACACTATCATGATGCGATTGAATATCGTCAACAGTGAACATGTTGGGGAATTGGTTTTGGGAAGAGCCAATAATTTTTTCTAAATTCTAAAAAGATAAAAATTAATTTAATTGGACTTACCCGGGTTGCCGGTTTAGAATCCCAACTTGATTTTAATGGTTAAAGCTTTTCAACGCCCAAGCCTCCCAAATTGTTAACTTGAGATACTTGAACTGGTTGAAAAAACCTTCTTCTTGTTGAAACTTCAATAAAGTTGAGACTTGAGAATTGGAGAATTAGCTAGTTAGCCAACTAGAGCTACTCAGATTGCAAAGAATGTATGAGAGAGAGAGAGAGAGAAAAGAGATTAAGACAATTGTTGAATTGGTGCGATGAAAATGGAGGATAGGGGCTATTTATAGGAATTGAACATAATTCAATTGCCCAATAATACCCTAAACACTAATTGTTTTTTAGTTGCTGGGAGGGGTATTTTGGTCATTGTAAAGTTATTTATAACTTTATCCAAAAAGGCCCATAAAACTAGTTGTTATATAGCTGTTGGGGGGCATTTGTGTCATTTTTCTCCCCTCCATAAGCAAAATATATAAATATCCCCTATATAGCTGTTAAGGGGTATTTATGTAAAAATCCCCCCAAAAAGCTGAAACTAGCCATTAGGGAGGGGGGGGGGCAACGACTAGTTTTCAGACGGGAGAGCAGCTCGCTATGGGCCCTGCGGGCTGTGCTACGGGTTGTGCCATGAGTGACACGGCACGAATAGTCACCATGCCGGGCCTGGCACGGCTCGTGGGCTATCGTGCCGGGCCGGTCCAATTTCATGCCCGACACAGCTTGATTTACACCTCTAGGTGGGGATAATGGAGTGAAAGTGGCATGGTGATGTGGTTTGTCTTCATTCATATACATATATATAGAATGTAATATAAAACTGTTCTAAATAGGTTTTAGAAAAATAAAAAATAAATTTAGTATGCAAATAGGAAGGGCTAGGGCGGGGCAAATTCTGGGATCCCTGTAGGGACAGGGTGGGGGGTTAGGATTTCTAGTTTGGTGGGGTTCGGGGCATGAATGGGGTGGGGCATTTGAGTTCAGGGTTAAGGACTAGGCATGTAAATACGAGTCTCGCTTTGCCCTGTTACCATTCCTAAATGGCTCACCAAACAGTATAACCCCATAATCTTAATGATGGTTTTATAGTTGTAGGTTGAATATGGAAAACCGCCCGATTAATCGATTGGGCGTTCAGATTTTTAGCCCGTTCCGAATCTTAAAGCACGGTTTCGCAGTGTTTTTTGTAATATGTTTTGAATTAAAAATAGTAAAGATTTAGCATTAATCACAAAGCCGACCTTAGCTCAGTTGGTAGAGCGGAGGACTGTAGTGGAGAATACCTATAGCCATCCTTAGGTCGCTGGTTCGAATCCGGCAGGTCGGATATTTGTTTTTAGATTATTATTTCCACGGTTCCACCGTCACACTCTGATTTACGAGGTTGTCTCCTAAGATAATTGGCCCATCACTACGAACGGCAATGATCGAAGGGCTTTGACCTTAAGAAATATCGTCCATCAATTACCCAATAATGATTTGATGTGGTTCCGAGTTGAACGGTCATGATTAATAGGATCAAAAGATACCGGTTCAACAGCCGCTTGATGGACACATTGCACATTGTCACGAAGCACGCAATGCATACCGCCTACGGTAGACAAAGAGATTCCTCGTCACGTGGGATGGGAGGGATGGACAAGAGAAAAGAAAGTAAATGCGCGTACCCCGGCCTCGCTTCGCGCCCATGCATTCAAAACGCGGCCCAAGTGGTCCCATTCCCATATGTGCGGTTCGTGCCTGGACGGTCAACAGTGAACTAGCTTGCTTGCATTTCGTATTTCGTATTCCCTCCCTCTTGGCTTCAGAGAGAGAGAGAGAGAGTGCTGTGGGATTATAGTGGGTGTCAATGTTTCCTCCATAATATTTCCAAAGTCTCCCTCTTGGCCTCTTCTTCCCCTTTAAGGTTAGTAATCTTTCTTAAACCTTCTTTCAACACTGTTTGTCAGCATCTCCAAGACGTACACCTCGTATTTCAAATTTTTTTTTTGGTTTTCTTTCACAAGGGTTTCGTTTCTGTCTGTCTATCTGTTACTCTCTGAACTTTCCGTATTGATTTTTGATGAAGTCTAAAAATTTCTTATTGGATTAGTTTGGGAAGATTTTATTTGATTGCTTATGTTGTTCTTAATATTTTTCCAAAGATGATCTAGAAATGTTTTGCAGTAGTTTAACGGAAATTCGAAAAGAAAAAGAAACAGGGTTTATCAATTTCTGTTTATTTATTATCTTTTTGTTGTATAATTTTTCTCAGGTTACTGTAAACCAGGATCAGAAATGGTCAGATCTACTATAAAATCTTAGGGATTTACCAAAGAGAAAGTCTTAAATTTGTTAAATTGTAAGATCAATACAACATTTGGGAGCTTATAGCGTTGGTGATTACCAATCCCGTTGCTCATAATCAATCGCTTAGCATTGATGATGAATAGAGATACCATTGATGGATTGCTTAAAAAGCGTCCCATTTTAACTGATGTAACCAATCAACATGGGAAAAGGGGATTTTTATCAATTTCGAGCAATTCCAGGCTTGAGAATGATAATGGGTTCCATAAATATCTAGAAGACAGATTTGTGGATTCTGAGTTTGCCCAACAAGGACGTTTGGGAGTGGAAAATCTAGTCCATAGGAAATGCAAGCGTGAATGTGTTGAAGATGGTTGTGAGAAGGGTTTGTCTCTGTCGAAGGCTAAGGATCTCTGCAGTTCACTGACCTCGGGCATTCATGATGATCTTCAAAAGGATAACATGATTACTGGTAAGTCTAGGCTCTCCAGTGAAATCAAGGATGCCTCAAATCTGTTCTCTGGTGATCTGTGTATTGTGAGAGGCAATACAGTGATGCACAGAATCTTGGAAGAGGGTGATGGGCCGAGAGATGGCTATTGTTCCAGTGCTTCTATGCCCATAATGCCTGGACAGCGCAACAGAAGTGGGGGCTTACAATCACTAACAACAATTCAAGGAGAAACCCAACATGACAAGGCAAGGGTTGGTGCTGATGTTATAAGAGTTGTTATCGGAAGAGTTCCTTTTAATGAAGCAGTAGATACTCATACTCATCTAAACAGCAAAGAGCAGATGGATGATGGTGCTAAGACATTAAACAAGTCTGGTATCATTGAATCATCAGATTATAAAGAGTTTGGACTAGAGAGGTGCACAGGTTTTATTGGTGATAGTTGGTCTAATGCTAGTGTAGACATAAGCTCGCTCAAAAATTGCTCTTGTTCTTTCTGTCTGAAAGGTAATCCCTTAGGTCCTTCCTTTATTGATGTCTTCATCCTATTGCTGTTTGTGTCCACTGAGCTTAACATGTGTTGAAGTTATAGGAGTTTATAAGTTTGTGTTCAAGGAAATATAGGTAGTAGGTGGTTTTATTGTTAACCTTAAATTGCCTCATTTTGCATTGATCTGAATGGTATGGACATTTTGTATTACTGTGCCAGCTGCTTATATTTGGTCGGACCTCTACTACCAGGATATCAAGGATCGTCTAGCTGGTAAGCCCATCCAAAATACTATTAAAATTAAGTTGGTTGTTATATTAATTTGATTTGATATATGGTTTATTAATGAACTCATCTTCCCCCTCCCTCTCTGTGGGAATCATGATTTTTGCTTACTTGATCTATATCACTTCTCTTCCAGCTTTAAAGAGGAGCATGAAAGAGGTTAAGCTTTCAGTAGATAGAAGTTGGCACCATTTTGAGGCTGACAAAAATGGTGAAGTAAACCCCAACAAATCAAACAAATTAGAATTTGATCTCATGGGTCGGGGTAGGTCACTATTTCTGCATACAGAGGATATCCTGGTTCGTGAAAGCAACCAGCTTGTGAGTCCTACTCTCCTTGTGTGTTTCCTCCATTCCTTTTTAATGCTTGTGGTTTTCTAGTAAAGCAAAGGTATATATTTTAATATTTGGGGATTGTTGCACCATTTGATTCATTCATCAATATGAATAGGTGAAGTTACACTTTAGTTTCTTCACTTATCCTTCAATTATCATTATTTTATGTCATTCATGATGAAGTCTTTTGATTCTGCATGGCAGCAATCCAGTCTTCTTGCTTTAAAAGACTTGAGAGGAAGCTGCAAGACAGATATGGAGATGATTAATGGGATGCTACCAAAGAAATAATAAAGTGCTTCTGATGTTTCCTTTGGCAATTTGTAAGTGGGCTCACTCCATTGTCATAGTGAATGTATGTTTAAGGATGTTTATGTGATAGATTAATGTCTTACCTGTCCCTTTGTACCCGTAAAATATCTGCAACATCTGCAGTGATAATATCTTGTTATCTGACCTTAATACGGTTGGGGTTAATGATCTTGCTGATTTGGTATTTTGGTTTAAGGGATATCTAAAATGGTGCTTTGCTTGCAACCGCAAGTGATATAATGTAATACTTTTGGACCATGTACTATAGAACTGATGCAAATTCCCCACTTTTTCTTTGGATGACTGCCTGTAGGACAGTATGAGGTATATGTTATTACTTTACCCACGGTGAGGGGATGGATGATCCTCTCATTATGGGAAGCCATATCCGTCCTCTATGGGAAGACCATCTACGACATAGAGAATATATAAAGGGGATACCCACAACCAGGCATCCAAACTTTATTCCAACGATATGGGTTGGCTACATAAATCTTGTTTTTCTATTCAATTCTGTTTAATACCATACCATATTTATTGTTAAACGAGGGAAAATAGATTAAGGTTATTTGATTAAGTGTAGAGAAGACCATCTACCACACCCATGTAAAGAAACGATTTATTAGAAGCTGAAGGGGGTAGAAAAATGCTAATGGGTGCCCGATAAGGACATAGGTTGTAGTAATAAATGATTTAAGGGCTTATGGTTCAACATTGGATGTGACAGTAAACAGAGGAATGGCAAATAGGATTCTTGTAACTGATGTAATATAGTTGAGACAAAGCTTAGATAATGATGATGATGATGTATATATTTAATACTTTATTACATAAATGTTGAGTGAGAGACTCTGAGTGGTTATGTTTTATTTATTTATTTTTTCAAAACCGGTTTAGAGGTGTTGGTTTAAGTCCCGGTTACCTTCTGAATCATGGTCTGACCCAACACAATCCCCGTAGGGGAGAAGCTCCAGGCATGATATTTATTGGTCAATACGGACCATACATATCAATACTTTGAACCTTGCTGGCATGCGAGCCTGGGCAGGCTGTACTTGGCTGGCCCAAACCCCTTATAAAAGGGAAGCCCGACACTACTTGCAGCACGAGCCTAGGTGGGAGTGTGAGTTGGGCCTAGCATGGTCCGCTTACTACAATGATGTCCTGGGGCTAGTATGGGCCAAGTTATGCTACCTGCCCATAGGCAGCCTGGCCCACTTACAGCTCTATTTATGAATGATGATTCAGTAGTTCAATCATTTACGTTGCATGGAATAACTTGTGTCACAAGAAAAACATAGGTCGTCGATTATCGTATGATTTGATGGGTCATGAGGTATAACCCACATTTGCTTTGCTAGGACAGTGTCTTAGCCCAGCGGTGAAACAAGTAAATTCACATGAAATAACTTTTTGGTAGGGCCATTGCGATCCAAGGCTATGATTTTCTGTTTTAATCCTGTGCTACAAGTAGCAAAAGTGAACTCGAGGTATAATGGTTGATTGATGAGTTAAAGGATTGGCCAATTAATGGGTCGGTTTAATGGTTCAACTCATTCACTGATTAATAAGAAGAATTATTGGATTATCTTGGTCGAAGACGGATTGTGGCTGATTGATGGGTTGAATGATGCAATCACATGGGTCGATGACAGATTCAAAAGAGGGGTTTTTATGATTCAGTACACCTCAATAACTTTTCTGAATTTGTATAAGGGATAAGTGGATTGTAAGAATTTGAATTCTATTGCAGATTTATAATAATTTAAAATTTCAAAATTTCAAATATCTTCGCTTATAACACCAATACCCATTCATGTATTGGCATCAATTTTGAGCTGGCACCTATTCTCACTGTATATATAGTAAGATTTGTGAGGATGGACTGAACAGTAAAAACCCTTTTGTATAATTGGGAACAATGCAAGGGGAATTCATCACAATTATAAGGGATTTAGGACAATGCATTTGTAAAACCAATACAAATTTCTGAGGGAGAGTAGGTTATAAAATTCTCTTAAAAATATTGGAGGATAACAGACTGAAGGATAACAGGCTGAAGTTGCAGAATTGAATGATTTATTGCTGTCTTAATTGATAAAATAATTAAATAATAAAATTCTCAAGGCCAATTATCCAACTTCAGCTTCAGAACCCCTTTAAATATTAATTTACTAAGAACCCATTTGCTTTTCGGTAAGTTATTTATTCGGGTAAATGCAATTACCTGTGTAGGTTTTTCCTGGGAAACACTTATCCAGGTAAGTGCATTTACCCATGTTTTTTTATTTCTCAGGTAAATAAGGTAATATCCATTTTAGTCATAAACATTTATTATTAAAAGGGGCATTTTTGCCCCATTCAAGTATTAACAACTTTCTTCCTAGGTGAGAATGTTATTTACTCACCTAAATGATACCCAAGAAAATAAATTTTCCTAGATCCCTACATTAATCTGAAAAACGAACATGGGATTCTTACTCAATGGGAACCAAAATCTTATTGACCAACTTTCCCCATCTCAAAATCCAAAAAAAGAACGCTCCCTACATTTAGGAGTTGCTTTCATGTAAATGGGCTTTTGGAAAAGCTTTTTTTTTTTTTAGGTTTTTGAAAAAAGGTTTTTTTTAGCAAAAGATATTTTTTGCACTAGGGCTTTTTGTTTAAAAGAACTTTTTGCAAACATTGAAGCTAAATGGATTTTTTTAAACATTTGTAGATGGTTTTTATAAGATGAAAAAAAAAACAGTTTAGGCTTTTTTATTATTCAATCCATCTGCAGAAATCTTAACTCCACCTTACAGTTGGGATATATGCCAATTTAAGGACAGGTATGGATGTTTTAATGTTTAGGGAATCCCATGTTAGTAACTTAACGTTAAACTGACTAACGGGTATTATCCGTATTAATAGATTAGCATTTTGCTCTTCATTATATTCGATCTATTTTCCAATATTTCAGAAATATACATGTTTAGACTAACCGCCCATTTAGTATCATCAAAAGGTTAGCATCATTAGTAAAGTCTTTCAGGCGAAGAAGATTATCACCCTTGGAGAAGGTGATTTGGTGGTTCGCCCACGCAAACCTTTTCATTAGTAACACGAGCTTTCGGGCGCAAGCCATCTATTCTCGCTGGCGGTGCCACTTTCCTGGCCGACGCGGCTCTTGGTGGCATTTCTTTCAAGTTTCAACATGCCTATTTTAATCTGTGAAATAAAATCTGTATGTACATAAAAAGAAATAAATGCAGATAACAAAAAAAAAATGAAAAGAGAATATCAGATTTAATGTGTTTCGGTCAAATTGTCTATGTTTACGGGCAGGAGTTGGAATTATTTTTTTATTATAAACATGAAAAAATATAATAAAAATGACCTCATCAGAATCTCGCCCATACCCAATGACTAATGCATACAACACCACACCCCTCTTATCACACTATATATAGTATAGAATGAAATAAAATGAAATGGAATGAAAACAATAGAGGAGATCCCTATTTATATTTGTATAGAGAGGTATAATGGACATTTTAAAAAGTTAACTTCACCGCTAAATAATGTTAAACAGTGGACTTCACCGCTAAATAATGTTTGCTAATTCCATGAACGACCGACTGGCCCACTGAATGTAATTTATGTGATTGCATCTCTTAGATTTATACTGAGGTCAAGTTTGTTCTTGGAAGTTGGAACAGAATGGAGATGTGACGGCATCTCTCAGATTTTTCACTTTCCCAGGAAGTATAGGATATGGGTTTTGAGTAAAAACTTGTCACATGTAAACTCATTGGATGATCAAACACCTCCCAACTAACTTCGGTGCAGGATCCACCATTAGTTTGATTGGCTGAGCCCAAGTTTTAATAGTTGTTAGAGGAAAGATATAATAACTATTGTGCACTCGATCCCACTGTATCTTTCAGAAATGGCTCCACCATGGTACAGAGGAGCTTTTAGGTTTAACAATGGCTTCCAGTTCAGTGTAGGCATCAAAGCATTACCAATTTACCAGCAAATCTCATAAACTTTAGTACTGAAAAGATTAGAGGCGGCTGCGGTTGGCGTCTCTCTGGCCCTGGCTGCAGTCCCAGCTTCAATCCTAATTAATCTGGTGATATCTCTCATGTCCATTGTGATGAATGCAGTTGTGGGTAGGGGTGTCGATTGGACTGGATTTGGTCCAATCCGATCCATTCAGTCCAATGTGAGTCCATTACAAGTGGATTAGGTTTAATCAAATCCAATAAATAATTTGGATCATTTTGGACCAGTCCAATTCAATGTCTAGACCGTTTAATTTATTCAAATTCATTTTAATTTAGATTGGTTTTAACCTAAACCCGGTCCATTGACACCTATGTTTCTTATCTTATATTAATGAACCAGATATTGACTTAATTCAACCAAATCCGATATAAATTTATTATGTTCTTACTAGGTCCAGTCCAATCTAATTGGACCAAATTGGTCCAATCGACTGTTTTTTTTGTCCATCCAATCCATCCAAATTGATTTTGGACTGGATGAGATCCATTCTAAAACCGGTCCTTTGACACCCTTAATTGTGGGTACTGGCTCAACCTTAATATCCTTGCTAATAGTGGATAGATTAGGCGGACGGATGTTGTTTGCAATAGGCGGAGTTTAGATGTTTGTCTCATAGATTAGGCCGACGATATGCTTCAAAATGACTGTTTCCATGTGTTTCGGAATCCCACCTTTTTTTAATAAAAAAGCTTGTTTTTAACTTCTTAAAAAACCAAAATTTGAAAAAAAAATAAAGAGTTTTGGATATTTCAAATTACTGATACGATACTGTCGATACGTGTATCGTATCGATACTTTGAGCATTGCTTGAGGGAAGAAAAACTCACGGTCTTGGTGCATTGTCCTGCACCATTAGTGAGCGAGAGAGCAAGCATATGGCCATATACGGGAGAACAAGAGGTAAGAATACAACTAAAGTCTGACTTGCCATTTAAGGATAGTTTGGTCATGAAAATTGTATTTATGTTGATGTGAACAAAATATGTCAATGAACAAAATTTTAAATGATTTTCCTAAATTTAAAACATGAAACATCTATGCTGCCACAAAAATAATATAATACGAGAAAAAGCTTTGATCATTCAAAACCCTCCACGGGTGATTTGGAAGAAAAAAAAGAACTCATGTATCCAAATGGGAGCACATGTTGAAACCTAAATCTGAAGGTGGGTTGGGTTTAGTTGCAACGGAGCATAGAAATAAAGCTTTGCTATCTAAACTGAGATGGTGTTTTCTAACGCACCAAT